AGAAAGATTTGGGATGCGTTGGGAAGTTTCTTGGATAAATCCCAGTTAATCCCTTCCTTGTGGCTCCTCACACCCAGCAGATTCTTTGGGAGTGCCAGAACCTGGTGCTGTTACATCCATGGCCTCTCCTGTGCTATTCCCTGAGCAGCTGATAATCTGAACATGAAATTAGGAATCACCAGAGAATTGTGTTTAATGAAGCAGCTGGGAGGCTGCCAGCAGTCACAAAGAGATCCCGAGCTCTTTGCATCCACCTTTTCATAACCAGTTTTCTGGATTTTAGGGGATTCTTGGTTTAGATACCTGTAACTTGTTTTGGTGAGTGATCTCCTGTTCAATCAGGATTGCTTTAGGACTGATGGGAGCTCAGGTGCACTCTGGCTGGTTTGGCTGGATGCAGGAAGGGCAGTGCTGAGCCCAGCCCTCAGGAGCAGAGCAGCATAGCTGCAATTTCGTGTCCCCAAGCCCTGTGACCAAGCCAGAGCTGGCAGCAGCCCAGTGGAGGAGAATGGCTGGATAACTCCTCACCAGGAGAGGAGAGGCCACAGATGGATTCCCTGAGGTGCTGCTGGCTGGATTCAATCAGAATTTGGGACAGGGAGAGCTGGAGCAGCAGAAGGAGACTGAGGGGAAGCACAGGGAGGGGAATGGAGTGTGTGCAGCCCATGGATAATCCTCACTACAGCTGGAGAGCTGGAATCCAGCCCTGCAGTGCCAGTGTGGCTGCTGGGCACAACCTGGACAATGTTTGTTTAAACACCCTTCAACAACGGGGACTTTTCAAAAGTGGGATTTTGTTCACTTGACAAGATTAAATTAAACACAGTGTTACCATCTCTGCCCCCAGCCCTGGATGCCAAAAGGCAGGAAGGGATCAGAAATCTCCAATTCCTTCTGGGGGAGGTGCCAGCAATGATATATGGGCAAATATCTATTTATATAGGTATATATTGCATGCTATTCAGAGCAAATCTTCAACAGGAAACTCCCAGTTTCAGAACTTCCTCATCACCAGTGATGCTCCAAATGTGCTGTTTCATAGTGGAGCAGGGCTACACCATTATCCTGCTTTTTCTTCCCAGAAAATTGCACTGTGCAGCACTATAAACCTGAATCATCCAAGTCCTGTTGGAAAGACATCTTATTTTTCTTTCTAGGTTGCTTAATTAATTTCTTTCGACTTCTTTTATACTGTTTGATGAATGTTATTTCAAACTACTGTCAAAGGGAATGTGAGGAGGGAAAAATGAGCCACCTACACACTGCTTCTAATACAACTGTATCACCCTTTGAAAACCAGGGAATTAATAAAAAATAGGTGTTAGCCCATATGCTTGACAGGGAGCATTTGGAATTGTCAGGCATGTTTCTACCCTAATTATCCTTGTCGGGCCATTTTGTAAACTGAAAAATTCCCCAAGTTACATAAAAACTCAGAGACAGGTCGGGATATTGAAAGCTCCACTTTGAAACCAGCAAAACAGAAAATTGTTCTTGTTTGGGCTGTTACCTCCCACCCAGAGACCTCTCACAGCACATTGCCATGAAAAGCGAAATGAGCACATCTGGCGGTGTTATGAATTGGGTTTGTTTGAAGGTTATTGGGCATCTCTGAGGGAAATCTAACAAAGCTGGGCAATGTGCAGTGTTTCAGAGTGGGAGAAAGCCTCCAGGTGGAATTACAGGGAGAGGTTTTCATGTCCCTTCCTTGTGATGATTAAACTGGAAGGGTAAATATGAGATGTTGCTGCTGCTTTGGGTTCTGCTGAGGTGTCTTACCAGAGACAGAGCAACAGCACCTCTGCAGTGCTCATGGAAGGGAAAAGGGGATGATTGTGGGTTTTTAGGACAAGAATGCAGCTCCCTCAGCCTCAGAGGGGCACCGGGGCGGCTGGAGGAGCTGGTGATGACTGAGCACACCCCAAGAGCAGGTCGGGCTGCACACAGAGATGAAGGCTGGGTTATCAAAAATTAATCAGGCAGATTCCTGAGCTGGGGCCTCAAGCCAGGGCTTTCAGGCAGGTCAGCACACACAGGTTCAGCTGCTGCCTGCACACAGTTAACAACACACTTGACTCAGGGTAGCTGCTGCTCCCAGCCTGGCTCGAGGGGGCATTCCCCCCCTCACAATTCAGAGGGAATAATTCATGGGCAAAGTTTGTCTTTTTCTCATGTTTTTATTTCCCATTTCAAAAATCTGTGCTGAAAAATTTATCAAAATAAGCCTTTTTCTTTAGTTCTTTCCTGAGACCATAGGAAAAGCTGCTGCTGCCTAATTGGAGGTTCCCAGAATCATCTTTCTCCTGTGAATACACACAATGTTCATGTTGTGCATATTTGCTGTAGATTGAGTGGGTTCCTTCTTTAAAACTTGCTGTGCTGATGAACGCTTCTCCCAGGAGAGTTCCCCTTTCAATATTTGTGGAAAACGCACAAAGGACAAGGACACAGTTGAAGTCTTTTAATTTGCAAATGTCTCTGAATATTCATGATGCCTATTTTCATATTCATCCATTTTTTCTCCTCTTGTTAAGGCAGCATGTCTGTTTTAAGGTAGAACACATCTGTCACAGTTTGTTTTGTCATCAGAAATAATAATGCTGGGAAAAACCAGTGCAAAATTAATCACAGAATGATGGAATGGGTTGGGTTGGAAGGGACCTTAGAGATCATCTCGTTCCACCTTGAACTGGCCAGCAGAAATCATCCTGTCTGCCTTAATAAACTCCTGATTCGTGGAGGCTGATTCCTGCTCCAAATGAGGGGCAGAAATAGGGAATATTGTGGTCAAACCCAGATGTTGTGAGGGTGACGGTGACCCCAGCGCTGCCTCGGGAGCTGCACAGGCTGTGTTTGGAGAGCTCCTCCTTTAGTGACTCGCTTCTCATCGCTCCCTGCGCTCAGAAAAATTAAATCACCAAGTGTTTCAAGGAAGGACAGCATGAAAAGCACTTTGGATCCCCTCGGAAAGAAATTAATTTTCCATTTGAACCCGGAGCTGCTGAAGCCATCGCGCGTGTTCCCTGCACGGCCCGCGGCATCCAGCGCCGCTCGCCTTTCATCTGCTGCCTGTCGACAGCTCCTCAAATTGTCTGAGGGGGAAATTTCCTCCCACCTCTTATTTGAACAGGTTTTTTTCCCTGAGAAATGTTGCCAACAAAGATTGCTTCTCTTCGGGGCTGGCAAACACTATTTCTTACCTGGTGGCTTATTGGGAATACAATTGGAAAAAACATGATAAGGTTTTACAAACAGCAGGATGAATAAAGGGAGGAGGGAGATTTTTTATCTCCCCCCCATTAGCTGCAGACAGGGGCTGTTCCTGCTCTGATTATCTCCAGTGTGCAGTTTTTCTCAGTGAACCTGCTGATTTAGCTGGAAAGCATCGAGTGTCACGGGCTGGTGGCTCCACAAGGTCACGGTGGTGGCACATGGAAGGTCCCCACTGTCCCCTGTGCCTGGCACTGTTCCCTGTGGTGAGGCATGGCAGGGAGCTCCACATCTCAGACTGTGCTGTTGTCCATGGTCTTTGTGTTCTTTCCTCCTTGTTGTTCCCCCAGAGTGCCCCCACTTCTCTGAGCATTTTTGGACTGGGTGCTCAGAGGGATCCCCTGGGGATGCTTTGGTGCAGCAGCTCTGGGACCTGCTCTGGCAGGTGCAGGAGGGGCATTTTGACCCCTCAGATCCCTCCATATCCTCTCCAGAACAAGAGGGCTCTTTAGACTTTCAGCCTGTGTTTATTCCCCTTCTCTATTTCAATTACCTAAACGTTTGAATAATTCAAAAATTGATTTCAGCCCAGCAAAGCTCCCGACCACACTCCGAGTTTTGTTTGCTGCAGAGCCCACAACTAACAAAGCAACCATTTCTTTATTGCAGGATAAAAGCCCATCTCAGAGATAAGCTGTCTGGAGGAATGTGGCACCCTGCACCATTTCCTGGGCATTAAAACTTCCATTTATTTTCAAATATTTTGCAGACCAGCTGGCACCTGGTGTATCGACCGTGCCATTAAATCACACAGAACTCGTATCTGAGAGAGTTTTGGGATCGCTGTGCCACCCAAACCCCGGCTGGCGCTGCAAGGCAAAAGAAGAAGAATTCAATACTAATATTTTTCCTGCAGGCCATGGCTCACTTGCCCAGGCACTGTGTGTGTGGCACTGGCTGGTGAGTGAAGGCCAGGGCTGTTTGCCTGGCACTGAAACACGTCCTTAAGGCTCCCTGAAATATAGAAGAAGACAGGGATTACAAGTCCTTCCCGAGCAGCCAGAACAGAACCCATTAAGGTATTGCAAGCCATGCAATTCAATGGCCCTGGAAGTATAATTTGATTGTAATTCAGGAGGTTACTAAAAGGAAATCCATACCAGGCTGAAAGATAAGCGAAAGCGAGGAGTGTATTTACTGGGAGTGCTGAAATGTGAGGTGTGTGAGTCCCTTATCTCCTTTGTCTGCACTTTATCACCACTGAAGGCAAGTAAAAGGGGAATAATATCTGCTTCACAAGAGAAGATTGGATTAAGTTTTCCCAGTGGTCTTGTGGGAGTTATTTCCATTTTGCTCCTGCCTGGATTAGCCTAACTCCTTCAGGCTTTTCCACATCTTTCCTAAAGGTCCTGGCTCAGGGAGGGGAGGGGAGCAGGGTTGGTGTGTTGGTTCTTCATGGGGGAGTTTGCTTTTGACCTCAGTAAAAGAATTAGGAGACCTACAACCTCCTCCCTGACTCCTTTACTGTGGAGGTTTCTTTTTCAGATCCCTTTTTGTTATGCAGCCTTTTTGTTTGCCAATGTTATCTCTTGCAGGTGTTTATTAGAACCAGTATTTGCGAGAAGAAACCTGGCTGTGCTCATTTCTTGCTGAGGTTTCTCTTCCTGCCCTTGTCTCCAGCTCCAGTCCCTCTCTGCAGAGACCTGCCTGACTGCACGGCTGGGAAACAGCCCCAGGTATTTGATCTCTGTTTTATCTCCTGGTCCTGCTCTGAACACTGAAAGGGTGCTGGTGGGATCCAGTGTCCATCAGTGCCTCCCTCTGCCTGGATTCCATGGCAGTGGCAATGGTGGGGTCTGCCTGCAGGGTGTTCTCAGCCATGAGTGTTTCCTTGGGTTTGTTGAGCTGTCCAGGCAGAAGCTGAGCATGATTTTACACTTCACACACATTTACTGTCCAGATATTCCCATTTTTCCTTAGCCTTTTTCACATCTAACTTGCTTGACGTGCACGTGGGTGAAAAAGAGAAGGCACTTATGGAGTATGGAGTGTTGTGTTTTATTCCAGGGATGGCTCAGCTCAGGAGTGATCACAGACAGACACTTGGCACTTCCACCCAATTCCACACTGCTGCAAAGGGAACAGGGGAAAACCTCAGCTTGTGGCCTCTGACAGGTACCTGCCAGGCAGTTTATAGCTGAAATGAAGGGCTGATTTCCCTGCTTTTTCATTTGGAGGGGGCAGGCTTAGTGGTTCTTTGCTCACTAATGGCCAGTGCTGACCAGCACAAGTGCCCATTCCTGCCAGAGTTTTGATTTTCAAGCCCCACGTGTTTCTTCTTCTACCACTTCTCTTATTTCTCTCTGGTTACTGTTGTAACTGCTGCATCTTCTTTGAGCTCCTGGGCACTACAAGACATCTCCTAGATGTTGAATCTTGTCACTTTTGATAAATCTCAGTGAAGCACAGAGCTCAACTGAAACTGCAGCTCAGCATCCTGAAGTGCCAGTTCAATCTATTTCTAGCCTTGGAAAAAAAAAATAGAAGGGGGGGGCAGCAAAAATCCTCACAGCTTTATAACAGTAATAATGGTGGGAATGAGTTGGCTTTCAGAAAATAATTTAATCCCTGGAGTATTGGAGATGAGTTTTGAGTGTCAGAGCCTAAGGTAGGGCAATGTCCTATTGCTGTGGCTTGTATTAAAACAAAGGAACATTTTTCCTCTGGAAGTTCATTAAAGTTCAGTTTTATTTTAGCATTTTCCAGACTGAAACCACAAGCAGAACAACTTTCTGGAAATCCTGGGATATTGGTTTTGCCTTAGCACTGTCAGATCACCGGAGCACTGCTCTTCTATTGTTTTATGTGAACTTTGGGATCTGGAGGGATTCCTTGTGCTGGGAGAGGCCATGGCAGTGCTTTTTAAGAGGTAGAGAGCTGGAGAGAGCTTTTAAAGACAGAAATGTGGCCTGGCTGCCTTTTTGCAGCCCACAAAATCAGGTGTCTATGTGTTAGACTTTGAAATTTCCTTCTGGTTTCACCAAAGAGGACAAATCTCACTCCTGGTTTCACAACAACACAGCAGTTGGCATCACATTAAAGGTCAGGTGAATGTCACAGAGAATGAGAATTAAAATTTGGCAGCAGTGTCTGCCTGGGCCTCGGGAGCAGAGTTATCTAAGGCAGGAGTTAGGAATAAACAGGATGCCCACCTGTTTAGCATTCAGCTTCATCCTTCCTAACTACCATCTTCATTTGTACTCTGGTTGTGACATACAAATCAATGTCCCCCAAATGAAATTGCTTTGTCTAATAATCCTTTGTGCCAGGGTTATCAATAGTTCATTAGTCTTACTTTGCATCTATCAATGAGAGGTGCAATTGAGAGAGAGAGAGTTCAAGGAAAGAAGTGAGCACGTTCTCTGTGGAAGGTGTCTTCCACTCTGGCAACCCTTTGTCTCCACTTGATTCCAGCCTAAGGGTGTAGCTGTACACCCAATTTTGTTCACTTGGAAGCTTTCACAGGTTTTCATTTATTCCTGAAGAGCCCCAAAGGGCTCTCGAGTCTCTGATGGATCCTCCCACCATGAACAGCCATGACTGAAAACCTCCCATGACAACACCAGCAATGATTTTTGCTTTCCTGTTTCAGCTGTCCCTTGGGTTTTGCCACTCCTGCAAAGGCCAGGGGTCCCTTCCTGGTGAGGACTTGGTGTGGCCCTGCCCAGGTGACAGCAGAGCCTGTGCTGGCTGATGAGGGCCCTGCCTGGGCCAGCCAGGTGCTCCTCACTCATTACCCTGCTTTATGGAGCTTGACAGGAGACATTGGATGCTATCCCAGCAAGGTGGCACAGCTTCAGGCCATGAAATTTTATTCCCAGAATCTTGCCAAGTTCATCTGAGCGGCATTTTGTGTTCTGGTGCCTCCTGCCCTGTGTCACTGAGCTCTAACAACGTGCCAGGATCAGTGTAGGTGCCACTCTGGGTCAAAGTCGACCAAAAACATCTCACACCCTTGGTGGTTTCAGTTTTGTATTAATTAGTTAGAACTCTGCATAGATTGACAAGGTCAACAAGCGAATTGTGTCATTCATTAGGTACCAAATAATTAGTGGTGGCTCCTGGGATGCCACCTGATTTCTTTCATCCCAATTTTTACTTTGTTGCAGCAGGTTTTTCTAATGATCAGCACACAATCATTTCACAATTCATCAAACCAGTAGATGTGGGGCAAACCCCAGGTTTGGAAGGTGTGTGCAGCAGAGGGGGACAGGGCTGGAGCCTTGGCTGGGTGTGCTGGGCTGGCTCCAAATGGGATTTCTGCTCATGGAGGGATTTCTCATGGATACCTGGAGGCTGAGCAGCTCCTGCCCTTTGTCCTTCAGCTCAGGAACTCCCTGGACCCAGGCTGGGGTGGGAGTTGAGTCAGCACATCCAGGAGAAGCAGAGAGTTTATTTAACTTCATCAAGTGACCTCAAGGGATTTTGTTTGGAAAAAAACCCAGCTAGATGAGCTAAACCCCTCTGGCCTTCTGGTGCTCCAGAAATGAGTTCTTGAACTCACACAGGCCATGTTAAGTGGAGCCAGGGAAAAGTTTTGACTGAGAAACTATTTGTCAGCATATTGTTGCCATGAATGTTTCATGAAGCCTTTGATTCCTTCAGATTTTCCTGCTTGGAGAACATTGATCATGGTTTGGGGTAACTTTGCTGCAAGAAAATTCTTCTTACAATTTATTTTATGTTCTTTTCCTTTTTGCCAAAGGATAAAGAAGAGAGGATTGATAAGTTATAATGTCTACAAAATAAGAAAAAGAAATACCTTTGGTTTCACTGCTGCTGAAAAAAATGACAATGAATTTTAAAAATTTCAAGCCGAAAGCAATAATTTCTTTTGAAATTCCTCACAAGGTATATTTCCCTTTTTTTAAAATCATGTGTAACTTAGAAAAGCGATCCGGTAGCGCTAGGCTGCAGTTGAAAAAAAAAAAGATTTGCACATAAAAACAAGGTGATTTTAAACTGCTTCTGGTGTGACAGAGTTTTGGATCAATATTTCATCACAGGAAGTCGGCACCGTGACTTTGAGTCTTGCTTTGCTGGCGCGGGGAGGTGGCTCTGCTCCAGTGTCACTCCTGCCTGCTTCTCCCTGCTGATAAAAGCCAGCAGGCAGAATGAAAGGGGACAAACGCCCCCAGCTCTCCAGAAAAACACGCAGAGAATGAAAGGATTGTGGTTCTTTTTGAAAGGACGTCTCTTCCCTCCTGGTGTCCCCGCTATGTGTCCCCCGTGACCGGCTCCTGATGCTGGGATGCTTCCATGGGCACACATTCCCTGTGATCCCTGCTCCTGCACCTCCAGCTGCAGTGGGGCAGGGCAGAGCAGTGCCATGGGCAGGGGATGAACGCATGGAAATCTGTATTCATGAGAATCAGAGATGGGGAATTTCTAATCTCTGCTCTGCTCCAGGCCAAACGCGGATGTGATTCTGAAAGATTATTCAGTGAGTCAGCTCCAAGTGAGCTTTCCTCAAGTATCCTGGATTTTTTTGAATAAAACCTCTCCAGACCAGGAACTGAAGTGGTCTCTGGGGCTGCAGGGCTGTGCTGTGGGCTCGGCTGATGGCAACTGCAGCCACAGGCAGGACAAAGCCATGGGGAAACGGGACAGTTAGAAGGTCAGAGGAGATTTGGCACATTTATCACTGTCTGCTCCTTGCCAAGCTCTTCCAAAGCCCGACTGTAGCTCTGACTGTCACACTGTGTTTGGAGACAGATCCAAGAAATGACTCAGGGCCCATCTGTGTTGCCAAATAGCTTCACTCCGTGTCTGCTGTCTGACTGTCCGTGCTGGTTTGGAGCGAGCCAGCTCCTTCCCTCCAGCAGGGCTTTCTGCAGGGCTGCTGTCACAGGAGCACAGTGGATCCCCATCCTCCTGCTGCTGTCTCACAGCTCTGAGCTGTGGAACATCCCTGCCATCATCTCAGCTGTCTCAGAGGCACCACCCTGCTGCAGGATTGCCTTGGGGCCATCAGAGCTGGTCCTGAGCTGTGCCCTCCAGTCCTGCAGCTCACAGAAATGGGAAAGAAATGTTCAGGGTTGGACTGGTGAGGGTCCAGCAGGGAGATCTGTCTGCCTGTGCAGCATTTCACAAGGGCATGGAGGGACAGGACAAAGGGGAATATACATTGGGATGGAATTGTCCATCCAAATATCCCACAGGTGCCCAGAGCAGCTGAGGCTGCCCTGGATCCCTGGCAGTGCCCAAGACCAGGCTGGACATCGGGGCTGGAGCAACCTAGGACAGTGGTGGCACTGGATGATATTTAAGGTTCTTTTCTACCCAAACAATTCTGGGATTTCAGGCCCTCTTTATTTCTGAGCTGCACAGTTTTAGTAACAATTTAAAATTTACAACACCCACTGAGAGTAACTTTGGATGGGAACACGCAGCTATATTACTTTTATCCATAGTTTTATCAACAAATATAGCCTTTCCTAACAGCCTTCATACTCTCTTGCCTCAGGATTTATTTTTGAAAGTGCTATAAATAGGCAATGCTCTGGATTGGGTCAGTTCCCCAGGGAAATAAGTGCATGCCACTTTTATATGAGAGGTTAAATTCTGCCAGCCTTATACTGACTGAGGAGAGCATTAGGGGAGGTGTAAAGTAGGGAAGAACTTGCTGCTGTGTACAAATGTAATTTAACTAAGTACACCAATTGCATTTTTAGAAACCTTATTATAAGGTCAATTTATTTTGTCAAGTGACCAGTAATTAATTTTATAGATCTTAAAGAGAGTAAACTCTAAACTCTCTGCTCTGATTCAGACCTTGGCATTAAAACGGGAGATTTGTGTGTGCTGGGCTTTCAGAGATGCTCTCGGTGTTGGCTGAGTGATGTGATGTGGTGAGGGAGGTGTCAGGGCAGGGCAGAGCCCCCAGTGCCCTTGGCTTCAGGCAGGGATGGGGCCAGGCCAGGGCTCCTCTCCCCTCTCAGAGGCTTGCCCAGTGCACCTTGCTGGTGTTGATGTCTTAGGATTTTAAATTTTCTATTTTCCATATATTTATAATCCTGCAGTTCTTCAGTGTGTAACTCTAAACTCTGTGAGCTGCTGCTTTCCCATTTGGGGCAGACACAACAATTCCTCTGCAGGCCTGGCAATCAAGGACACCTCACTGCCTCAGGGCCCAGAGATGGGAACAAAAGTGAGTTGGGGCAGCAAACTTGGCGTCAATGACTTCATTACCTGAAGCTGGAATTGGGAGATTCACCCCCAATTTCCAAATAGACCAAACTTATAAAAGTGTGAAAACCTCTTGACCCATTGTCCATTTTTGGGTGTAGCCCCTGGGGGGCTTTGTCTGCCCAAAATGTAGACACTTTACTTGAATGTCCTTCAAAAAAAAAAAAAACCAAAAAAAAAACCAACCTGCTCTTTATTCCCTGAATTCTGTTTTCAGGTAAGCCCATCAAGGCATCCTTCTTTTTGTGCCTCTGAGGCTCTGGGGGCTGTGGGAGGGATTCTCCAGGCAGGAGCTGTGCTGTGAGGGCTGTGTGTAATTCTGGGGTTGTTGTTCCCAGAGAGCTGACAGCCTGTCATGCAGCACGAGCCACTGGGTGCTGCCTCAGCTCTGCCATCTGCCGTGGTTGCCCTCTTCCCTGCCTACTCCCCGTGCAAGATTTGGGTGTTTTCTCCACCCTGCTGAGCTTCCTGCACAGCCCATGCCCTCGTGCCATGCTGGGGCAGCATCAGGAGGCTGCTGGGGAGCCCTGACCTGGACCAGGTGGGTGGAACCTCCCACAGCTTACCCACCCACTCCTCACTCAGAAATCTCTCTTGTTGTGATAAAGAAACCAAACAAAGTGAGATTTAAGCAAAGTGTCATCAGTCTCATGTGCTGGTGAGAATAAAAATCCCTCTTCTCCCTGGCTGCGGGAATTGGACTCAAAAAATCAAGCAGACTTTCAGCCTGCTGTTGTGTGTAATGTAATTTACTCCTCCTTCATAATGAAAAATGTTTGGATAAAAGTGAAAAAAACCCATTTTTGACCCGTTTTGGTGGTTGGTTAGATGACTTCACAAGTCCCTTCCAACCCAAACTATTCTATGACCCTGCAGAAGGTCGCAAGAAAACCCTGACAGATTGAACGTTTTGAAGGATGCCTTTCCTACTCCGGTTTAACACTCCAGCAAAGAGGAGAACAGCATGACTGGAGCTGAGGAGCAGAGAGTGACTAACGAGCAGGAATCAGCAGCAGGGCAGCAGCCTGTACTGCACCTGCCCAGGCAGCCCCAGGGCACGGCATGGGGAGCACCATATGCACTGCAGGGCTGAGAGCAGCAGCTCACACTGCCCTGCAGATGGGGAAACAGCCCTGCCCTTGAGCAAGGTCAAACAGAGGGATTTTGGAAGATGGGCAGCTCCAGAGTGCAGGATTTTATTTAAAGCACAGTGGGTTTGTGGGCACTGAGGGTGTGCTCAGGGATATGATGTGCGGGAAGGGCTCTGGCACAGCCATGGGAAATTCTTTAGAGCAGAATTGAGGACTGATAGGGTTACAGGAAATTTACAATAAAAATAACTCAGCAAATTTGGCACTTGGGATGCAGATTGTGGATAGCTCCTGTTCTCCTCTGTGCACTACATCCATGTTTTAGGTAGTGTTTGAAGGAATTATTTCCAGCAGGGATGCAGTTAAATGACAACACAAAATAGCCTCTGTTAATGCTGTTACCATGTGTACAAGCTATGTAATGCTACTTTTTTTCCTAGTAAATATATTTTCCTCCTAGTTTTGAGTTTCCCTGATTGGCTGGGTCTGTTCCACTTGGGATAAAACAGAAGAAGATGCAGTGTGTGGTGGATTTAACAACCTGTGGGATGCAGGGGTGAGGTCCCTTCTCCAAGGGAGGACATTATTGTATTTTCTGTGTTTTGTTTTCCTTTCTTTTTGTTTCAAGTGAATATGTCTGGAGGATGAAGGATGGGTCACTTCCCTGACTTGCTTTTCTTCCTAAGTCACTGAAAGAATTCAAGGGGATTAGGGAGAATTCAGAGAGCCATGGACAGAAAATCCCCTGTTCGGGATGGCCTTTCCCAGGATTTCAGTCTGCTTCCTCTTCCAGGTCTCTTCCTTTCATAGGAGCTTAAAAGGAGGGTTTTGAATGACCCAAGGGTGTGACTTTTGTTTTTGCTAGGTCAGTATATTGGAAATACTCAAGGCCAGGTTGGATGTGGCTTGGAGCAGCCTGGGAGGTGGCAGGGGTTGGAATGACATGACCTTCAAGGACCCTTCCAACCCAAATTATGCCATGATTCCATGGCTCTGCTGGGAGCTGAGAGCTGGAATCAGCAGGAATTTGCTGCTGGCACTGGAGGGGGTGGGAAGCAGCCAGATCCCCCTGGCATGAAGGACATCAGCACCCCAAAGCCAGGTAGGACATGAGGGCTCAGCTGGAAAAGCTCCACCAGAATCACAAAGCTTTAAAATCCATTTAGTGGCGACTGCAAAATGTTTTGCATAAGCTCCTTTTCTTCCTGCCTAAATATGAACACATCCAGATCAATCACCGAGCTCAAAAATCTTCCTGGTTCTTTTGTGAACATCCTGCTTTGTTATTCCTTTCATTTGTCTTGCACAGAACAAGCCAGCACCGAGAAAATAACTTATTGTGGATGATCAGAAAGACCTTTTCTCCCTTGTTTTTCAAACAGCAGTACACAGAAATGGAATGTTGTCTGTACACAGAGTTGCTGTTTTCCATATATAACCAAGGTGTCACGCAGCTCATTATTTCAGGGAAAAAATCAGTGTCAACAAGCAAGGCTTGTGGCTGTCGTTGGGTTTATTAAAAACAAAAACGTTTGATCTCTTGAAGAAAGAAAAGAAATCAGCTCCTGGATTTTAGATTTTTTTTTTTCTGGACTTGGTCTTCTTGAAAAGCATCAAAAAATGAAAAATCTAAGGTGACATCCTCTGTTCTCGTGGCCCCTAATAGCCAGTCACTCCACCAATTTTTCTAAGTTTATCTTTAATCTACTATTCCCAAACTAATTAGGGACTGAAGGTCTTTGGACTGATTTTCATTTTGTCTTGAGTTATTGTGACATCTTTACTACAAATTCTTTCTCAGTCTAATTAAATTCCTGCAGCATAAATGTCATTTTTCATATCATCACCTGTGGTAGCCTGACTTTGCCTTGGTCTCCTGATGAAGGACTGACTCCCTTCCTTCCTGCTTCATATTTGAAAAGTTTGGCTTGCAGTAAGAACATCTCCAGGCTTAGCACAGACAGGGATTTCATTAATATCTAGGCATTCAAATTGATGGGGTTTTATTAGAAATATCCAGCAGTTGTTCTCTTATATTAGTTTTCAGAAGAACATTTCAATTTATGCCTTCCTTGAGGCCCAGAGGCAAAGGGCTGAGTTTGAGTCGTGCTCTGAGCCTGGCCCTGAGCTGCCAGGACCCAGCACAGCCCAGAAATCCTCTGCTCTGCTTGGAAACATGGTGCAGGGCTTATCTGCTAAACAAAATCCAAATGAGAAATGTTGATACTTAATGAAATATAAGTTTGAGGATTTCACAAAAGAAATCTGCTGTCTCTGCTTTAATTTATTAGGGAGAGTTATGTGCAGATGGTATATACAGAGCTATTTCCTGACTGTACTCCAGAGTAAGTTGATTTGTGGTTTAATGACTTTTATCAAAATGAAATAAGCATTTGATCTTTGGATTTGATCTGGCTATATCTGCAGCTGCTACACCACTACAGCAATTACTTCCAAACTGGGCTTTTTGCCCAGGCAAATGGAGTTCGTCCTTGTTTCATGTCTCATTGACTGTCCTGATAATACACACAGTGCTACTGTAGGTTTTTTCTTCCTCTAAATTTGATAGGTGTGAAAGTAAGAGAGTAATTCCCTTTTTATTTTTGTATCAGTGTTGTTTTATTATAATCCATTCACTACTCTGGTTAATTTTATCTCGAAGCTGCTCCTAACTAAAATTCAATACAAGAATGTGCAATTTTCTCCACATAATCCTGCTATGCCCCTCTATAGAGAAACAAGAAATTCATTTATGAATTCTAAATCTCAGACCCCTCGTGGTAATCTTCACATCTGTCCAGTGGTTTAGAGATGAGTTTGTAGGGATGTGTTGTGCACCCACGCTGGGCTAAATCCACTCCTAATGGATTTCAGTGGAAGGCAATGGGGTTATATTTGGAATCAATTTACACCCATGTATCCATCTCTGAAATAGTGGGGTTTTTTTGTTTTAATTCCTGTCAGAGTAAAGCTGTTAAGGTTAGCAATTCTTTTCCCAGGACCATATTTCCTTCTTTATTTACTTCTCAGGCCAAGATTTGTCCAAGTTCAGCCTCAAGAGTTCCCGGTGGGAGATGGCTGTCATGATTAGGGGTTCTTAGGGCTCGGTGCTGCCAGCTGTGCCTTCCTGAGGAGCTGCAGCTGCCTTTGTGAGCAGGGTGTGGGAGGCAGGAGCTGGCTGGCAGCCAGTTCACCTGGGCCAGAGCAGCAGCAGGGAGCAGCGCCTGGACCAGGCCATGCTGGATGAAGATGTTCTGGAAGCAGCCTTGGTTTGGAGCCAGCAGGTCTGAAATCTGCTGATTCACAGTGGCCAGGAGAGGCAGTCAGGAGGAATTACAAAACAAGAGAAAGATCTTTGTTCTCCCCTTTTTTACAGTCACTTCGGGACAAGGCGCTTCACGCTTTGCGTGGCTGGAAGGTAGATTTTAAACAGTCTGTTTTTTGGCTGGATATTTCTTAGAGATAAGCAATAAAAATGGCAATAACTGGGAAGTGACTGGTGGATGAGTTGCCTGGAGATTTGCAGTGCTACCAGGAGCTCTGTGAGAAGGCGGCTCAGCCTCGGAGCCGGGGAAGGTTTTCCTGTGCCAGGGTTGCTGCTGCATCTTTAGCAAATCAAACTCCTTGCACAGTACTTGCTCCTTAATCCAGGAAAATTAAACCACCAGCCACAGCTACATTGTCCAGCCATCTGCTCTCCCAGGTGCTCCCACGGCTGAGCTGAGATGGAGGGAGGTGACCTAGAATCCCACTGCAGAGCTGGGATCATTCCCAGCACAGCCCCAGCCTTCAGTCTTCTGCATGGCATCAGATAAAGTAAACATCAAGATTTGATGTGAGAGCATATGTCCATTGCATAATTCATTAGAGTTTCTTCTCCACAACTATTTTTAGGTATTTTTCAATCAGAAGTAGAGGGTGAGGATTACTCAGGAAAAGAAAATGATAAGAAAATAATGGGGGAGCTTAGAGTGATGTCTGGGTACTTCTGGGACTGAGATCTGGCCATTTAGCTGTGTGTGTTTGGTTTTTAAATAATTGTTTCTGTCCTGGTCAGTTCTACAGTCCTTCATGACAGCTTGGTGGTGGGATGGTGTAAATCCAACAGCAGAACAGGAAACCTGCTCCTTTTTTAATCAGCACTGCTGCTAAAACCCCTGTCAGGCCAGACACCTCCCATCATTTCAGACTGTATCACTCCACCAGCCTGAACGTGCTTATTCCCAATTTCCAAACACTAAACACATCCAAAACCATTTCCCCTCTGTTTTGCAAAGCATCCACTGAGTGTTGCTGGGACACAGCGAGCAGAGTTGGTGGTTTCCCTGCTCAGGTTGTGCAAAATACCTCGTAACTGCAAATCATCACAGCTGCCACAGCTTCCTCTCATGTGTCAGCAGGCTGTGAGCTGCAGCCAGGCTGTGTGAACACCTGGGATGTTCCTGGGCTCTCAGGTTTGCCAAGCTTCATTTCACACGTGCAGGGTTTGCTGCAAGAAAATCAGGACAAAAATCCTAACCAAACCCCATGTTGTACAGTCACTGACAAGAAATGGAAGGAGGAGTTATTTTGAGGCTTTTCCATCTTTCCCATTGCTAGGAGACAGTTCCTGGGCACACAAGGCTCATCAGGCTCCCAGAGCAGCCTCCTTGGTGCCACAGCGTCCATGGCGATGCACGGGGCAGCACTGAGGGAAACAGGGAGAAGGAAATGGGGCTGGGAGCTGCTTTTCATTTTCAGTCTTTCTGAGACACATGCAGAGTGTGCTGAAGGCAGCTGCAGGTGATGTTCCTGGGTTCTCAGGTTTGCTGAGCCTCGTTTCACCCCACTCGTGCAGGGTTTGCTGTAAGGAAGTGAGGACAAAAATCCTAACCACACCCCAAACCCCACATTGTACAGCATGAGTTACTGACAAGAAATGGAAGGAGGAGTTATTTTGAGGTTTTTACACTTCCCTATTGCTAGGAGACAGTTCCTGGGCACACAAGGCCCGTCAGGCTCCCATTGAGGCCTCCTCGATGCCACGGCATCCATGGCGATGCACAGGGCAGCTCTGAGGGAAACAGGGAGAAGGAAATGGGGATGGGAACTGCTTTTCATTGTGAGGCTTTCTGAGACAAATGCAGAACATCTTTGTGCTGGTTTTCTCCCTCAGTTTTTCTCAGTGAGGGAAACAACAGTAAAAAGGGAGAGTGGAAACCATGGAATGCAGACGTGGAATCAGCTGCAGGTGCCAAGGAGAGCGTGGTGCATGAAGTGTCACCTCAGGCTGGCCTTGGTCACAGCTTTCACAGCCTCCTCTCTGCAGAGACTGGAGTCACATTTGGGCCAAGTTTGTACTGCTTGGGAAGGTGCAGAAACACAGCACTGCCAGCCAAGTCTGAGCCTGTCCCTGATGGTCAGTCCATGCACAGCATTACCTACGAGCACCTGAGTCCCACCAGCCCTCAGGTCCATGATCAGCACCAGCCTCACCACCTGTGACCCCAGTGTTTAAAATTCTCAGTTCTGACCAAAAATTATTCATTTTTTATAGGTGGCCTTTGAGTCATAGTAAAATATATGTATTGTATAGGTGGCCTTGCCCCGATGAGTCTCAGTTGTTCTAATTGGGCTGCAGCTGTGATGTTCTTCAGTGGGCTCCAGCTGTGACTAATGAAGATAACTGGGATAAAAGGGGGTGGGTTGGCCAATCTGGGACAGCCTTGAAGGAGCCCTGAAGGAGCAGGAACAATCTACAGAAGAAGGAGTCAGTGCTGTGGCTGCCTACAAGAAAAGCACCAGGAAGGTATGGGACTTTAGAAACATGATGACAACAATTTTTCATAAGGCACCTCAGTTTGGGCTGATTGAGGCTGGGGTTGTAAATGGACAGATCTCCTGGGGGTTTGTCATGGGTGGGCAGAGCCTGGAAAAAACCAAAGCTGTCAGGAGAACATGGGAATTTGTCATGCAGAAGAGAGTTGCTGAGACAACTGTGGAGTATCTCACACTGTATTTTTCACACTAATGCCAGATGGCCAGGAATGGGATCCCCCACGTTCTCCTCCCAGTCTGAGAAGACAAGAAAATAAACAAGGAAAATGTCTGTGCTGAGGGCATCTGTTGGCTCCCTCATAAGGTGAGTCACTGCTTTTGATTGCTGAAATAATTAGGATTTCTTTCTAATTGGATTCTTGTGTTAACCCTTCCTGTACCATGGATCCCAATCATCCCTTTAGTTCCTGGCAGGAGGTTGGAGCTGGATGATCTTTAAGGTCCCTCCCAACCCAAACCATTCTGGGATTTTGTGGCCAACAAGACTTGTCAGCAATTGCAGGCAAGGACATTTTACACCAGTTGGGCTGTTGGTGTGGAACCCATCCCTCTGCTGCTCCCATCACCTACAGGACCATCCTGGGGGTGATCAAAACTCAGTTTCCTTCCAGCTATGGGACAAGAATGCCAGGAATTACAGGAGAGGAAACACAGGCAGAAATCTGAGGCAATATTTCAGTGTGGGGTGCTCTGCAGCAGGTTTAATTTAGGAGGTGCTTGACACATGCTCCCTGAGATCCCTGTGCTCCTGCCAGGCATATGTGCACATACATTTATTTTTAAACCCTTACATGCAGCATTTCCTACCTGGCTGGTGCACCAAAGCAAGTTTTTTTCCTTAGCAAATAAGGGAAAAAGGTGGGTAAGTATAAATGTGTTTCTTAACAGCCTTGTTTGTGACAAAATTGCCAAGTAAATCTTCACACGACATTGGGCTGTGAGTATTTGAGTCACATTTGGACAGCAAAGCCCACTGCATGCAGCTTTCATTACAATATTTCTCTCAAGCACAGTCTGTCTCTCATGTTTTTCTGAACATTGTTTAAAGAACTGATGAAAGGGCTGAAAACTTTTCCAACTTTCCTTTTCTTGGGTCTCTTCAGCTCAGTCTTTCATCACTCAGTCAATAAACAGTGGAGGACTCTTCTGAACTGCAGTGGGAGCGAGGAGGAGAGGGGAAATTAATGATATCACCCAACTGAAACTCTTTCAAGTTCCCTTTAATTGCAGAGGGCACAGGGAGCTCATTCAGTTTTAATTCTCTGATCTGCTGCTGTCCCCAGGGGAGCAATCTGCCTCTCCTCCCACGCCGCACGCGATTTTCCTGTGCGGGTTCCTGGCTCCCAGCTCGGGGCTCCTGTGCTGTTCAGAGCCCTTCCTGGTGGGATTTTGGCAGGGGAACAGCAGCCACAGCTGGCACTGAGGTTGTCACGCTGCCCTTGGGCACCACACAGGGCTGATCCTGCTCTGTCAGTCCCTTGGTGCCCGTTTGGTGCCTCAGCTGCCAATATATGAACTGAGGATCACAGGATCCCACAATTTTAGTTTTTAGGATTTTAGTTGGAAGAACCTTAAACCTCATCCAGTTCCACTCTGGACATGGGCAGGGACACCTTCCACTGTCCCAGAGTGCTCCAATCCCTCTCCAACCTGGCCTTGGGCACTGCCCAGGATGGAGCAGCCACAGCTCCTCTGCACAGGTGAGTGCCACATATCCAAGCTGTCCAAATTTAAAAGAGAAAACAACAAAACCCCCAAGAACATCCAAAAATTACTGCTGTCCACTGAGGAGCTTCAGCTGTAGGCACCAAGCATTCCCTGGCTGTCTTTGTCTCATGGGAAATATCAGCGCAAGGGGCTGAAAGCTGCTCAAAGAGCCATTCCCACCGTGGAAAAGCCTGAGGATTACCATCACAACAGGTCCCTGGGCAGAAACATGAAGCATAAAGCTTTAAATTCAAGTCACACTGATAAGAATAACAAATAAAGAGACCAAATTCCCTTAAAAAATGGGATTACCGAGGCCGTGGGGAAGAAATATTTTAAGGGAAGTTAAAGAGAAGTTAATCTGCTTTTATGTAATTTGTTTTCCTATTCTTCCCGAACTGGCTTGCTTTGGAGACAGCTGCTTTCAAGGTTTACAGCCGTGCATATGGTTGGGAGGGCTGGAATTGGCAGCCCTTGGCATGACAGAATAATGGCTAACTGGAAAAATGGCCGGGTAGATAATTTACGGATGATACAACCACATCAAAGCCACTGAAACACAACCCATTCATTTTTACAGCCTCCAGACTGCTGCCTGTTGTGATGTGTCCCTCCTGATGGCTCTGCTGTCACACAGCCCTTCCCCTCCCCTCCCACGGGCAGGACCCCATGGAAATCCTCATTCCTGGAGCATTGGACACGGATGGGGCAGGATCCCATGGAAATCCTCATTTCTGGAGGGCTGGACACAAACAGGGCAGGATCCCATGGAAATCCTCATTCCTGGAGAGTTGGACAGGACAGGATCCCATGGAAATCCTCATTCCTGGAGGGCTGGATATGGATGGGGCAGGATCCCATGGAAATCCTCATTCCTGGAGGGAAGGTTGGACATGGATGGGTCAGGATCCCATGGAAATCCTCATTCCTGGAGAGTTGGACAGGACAGGATCCCATGGAAATCCTCATTCCAGGAGTACTGGATATGGACAGGACAGGATCCCATGGAAATCCTCACTCCTGGAGGGAAGGTTGGACATGGATGGGTTTGAGTTCCACTTCCTTCCTGTTTTTCTGTTTAAACTGGGAACAAGGATTAGTGTTTGGTTTGAGATTTTAATATTCAAGAATAGATTAAGACAGCAGCCTGATGTTAGATGACCATTATATGCCAAATGCTATCAAAATCTCCTGCAGCATCAAATCAAGCCCTAAATCCTAAAAGCTTTATACTTTTTCCCCCCAGATTACACCAGAGTATCACCTTTGCAGCTGCGTTGTTCTTTGTTCAGCAATAAATGAGCAATTGCTGGAGAAATCCCAGCTGGGGTAGTCCTGGCCCTCCCTTGGCCAAGCCCTGAGTGAAAGGCAGATTCTCGTGGCTCAATTACAGAGCCACTAAACAAAATGGAAATGTTGATGTTCATTATTGATTTTATCCTTTGCTGCTCTGGAATGGTGCTAGTGGGAGCTGTTTTAATCAGATTACCTTAAAACTTACTTACAGAATGAAGTGCTTAATTTATCCCCCCTTTTTTCCTTTCCCAAAGCAATAAAACAGGAAAGGATCAGCTGTGCTTCCTGTAGAGCAGCCCTTCTCTTTTTGGTTTTCTTGCTGTGTTTGTGTAATTCATCTTTTATCACTCTCAAAATCTGTTTTTAGAGCATTTTGCATTTGTTATATCTCCTCAAGTAATCGCTCATATTGGTTATGGAATAGAATAGACTGTGATTGTTGGAGATATAACTGCAAAATGTTTCCAATTTCTGGGAATATCAATTGAAAACTACATTTACTGAACATCCATCTCCAGCTCCCTGTGCTGTCAGGTCAGAGCTCCGTGTCCCTCCAGCCTGCATGTCTTTGGGATTCAAGTCAGCCAGGCTGATTCTGCTTTAACTGAGGATCTGGGAAGTGCTGCATTCCGAGTGATATATCCTCTCATAATCTGGGAGGTTAAATGGTTTTTCTGATTTGATTCTTTACTGCCTTCCCCATTTCACATCAGATGAAACCGGCTGTGAAATGGCAGCAAATGCAAGTGGCACATTTGTGTGCTGAGTGCCTGCAGCGAGCTGGGGATGAGGAATTGGCCTTTAATTGCCCCTCATTAGTCATTTGCTGTGTACAATGTAACTGGCAATTGCAGTGGGCAAGGGGGGCTGAGAAATGCAGCCCCTGTCCTTACCCCGGGCTGGCTGAGGGGCCGGAAGTGGCTCTGACTGAGGCCCCAGAGTGCCCAGTTCCTGCCAGGAGTGAGGCCCTGCAAGCTCTGCCCCTTGGCTGGGCTCAGGGAGGGTGGGTGAGCATGATCAGAGAATCCTGGAATTGTTTGAGTTGGGAAGGGACCTCAGAGCCCACCCAGTGCCACCCCTGCCATGGCAGGGACACCTTGCATTGTCCCAGGCTGCTCCAGCCCCCAATGTCCAGCCTGGCCTTGGGCACTGCCAGGGATCAGGGGCAGCCATAGCTGTGCCAGGGCTGCCCAGCCTGACAGGGAACAATTCCTCATTGCCAATATCCCATCCATCCCTGCCCTCTGGCACCGGGAGCCATTCCCTGTGTCCTGTCACTCCAGGCCTTGTCCCCAGTCCCTCTCCAGCTCTCCTGGAGCCCCTTCAGGCCCTGGAAAGAACTCTAAGGTCTCTCTGGATCCTTCTCAAAGCTGAACCATCTTGTTCTTGTGTTCTCTGTTCATATCCAGGCGGATTCTGGCTCTCTGTCCTGTTGGGCAGCTGATCCTGAGCAAAGCACTCAGCCCAGGCCATCTCCTTGCAAAACCATGGAATCAGGGAATGCTTTAGGTTGGAAAAGATCTTTAAGACCATTGAATCCCCTCACAAACCAGCACTGTTGTCACCCAGGGATGATCCCAGTGACCCTGCCACGATCCTCTCCAAGTGCCACTCAACAGGGGAACCTGCCTTTCAAAGGAACAAGTAGTTTAATCTGTGGATTTATCAAATTTAACCCTCTCCTGGCTGTGCCCTACCTGCATTCCCTGTCATTCCTTGGCAGTGAGCAGCTCTGATTCCAGCTCTTCCCACCACTCCTCTCCCTGACCAGCCCTTTGGAAGGAGGGTGGAGATTTCTGTGCCTTAGCAGATGGCAGCAAATCTTGATACCTGCATTTCACAGCCTGGCCCGTGGGGCTGGAGTGATGTATTTACTCCAGCACCTAAAGTCAATGAATTACATCCAAGCCTGCAAATGGTCATAAATATGATGTCTGTGTGAGCTGAGGTAATTGCCTGCTTTATATATGTGTTTATCTTCCCTGCATTGCATACACAATGTGCATTATGTCAGGGAGATGACAAAGAGCAGCCATAATGCTCCTCAACTGCATATTTCTTCTTAGTTTATGGCTGAGGCTCAGAGTTATCTTATGCAGAGTTGGCTGTGGTGGTTTAATATAAATTAACATACTTAGAAAATGTCAAGGAGCATTAATTGACAATTTCAGAAGCCTACCTTGCTAAATACCAGTTCAGTTCTGAAGCTTGTCTCTGCAAGCTTAATATATGGAAAATAATGCTTATTCATGAATGGCTTATGTAACTTGGCATTAATTACGTGGCTGTCACAGATGGTCTCTCTACAAAACCAGGTGCCAAAAATAAAGTTTCAAGCCCCACAAGGGAACTTCTGAGCTGGGTACTCAGCACTTTGGAAAAGCAGGGCACATCATCCTGTGTGGAAATACCGACTTACTAACCTAATTCTGGACCCACTTTTGGCAGAGGATTGGCCTATATAAAAATATTTCACATCAGCACCTTCTCCTGTGTCTCCAACGAGGGGATCCATGGCAGGAGCCCCCAGCCCAGCACTCCCCTAGCACTTCCCACCTGGAAAACGGAGATGACGCTGAATAATCCTCTTGATAAAAAGAGAAACAAGCTGAGATTTTCATCTGAACAATTAGGACAATGTTGGTTGTTGCTTTGCCTGCCCTCCAGCCTGAGCTGTGGCACAGCTGGGAGCAGCTGGTTGGTGTGGAGGTGCTCAGCTGAATGCTAATTGTTGATTAATATAGCCCTGGGTTATAAAAGCCCAGTTTCTCTCTTTAGGGTTTTTTTCCCATGCACCAGGAAGGTGCTGCTGTCTCTCCAAGGTTTCCTGCTCCTCATTCCAGCTGGGAGCATAGCCAGCTCCTGGGAACTTCCCTGCCTCCCTAAACAAAGTTAAGCAAGGCTGAGAGATGAGATTTGAAGGCATTTATTGATTTTGCTTTAATATTCTGTTATTTCTTTCCCATCAGTACCCTATTTGCTTTATGCAGTGCACTGTGCTGTAAGTATATTCCCAGAAAATGATGCACATAATGCTATCTCAAATGGGAGCATATGGATATCAAATGAAAGCTGGGCTGTAAATCACTGAAAATCAGGAATAGCTGCACTCTGAGCCATCCCTGCTCTGCTGCTGAGCTGGAGTGGGAAGGGCAGCCCTTCCTGAGGGCTGGCTTTGCTTGGCACCACTGGATGCTGCCGTGTTTGGGCCCCACAGCGCTGCAGTGATGGGTTTCTATGGCAACTGGCTGGTACACCAGGGGTGGGGGGCCTGCCCTGTGCCCCCAGCTTCACCTAGCTGGGTTGTTGGGTTTTTTTGCCAAATGGTCCCTTCTTTCATGATTTCCCTCTTTCTTTGTGTTGTTGCTGTTGAAATACTTTCTGTTGTCCCTAAGTTAAGTCCTTCCCTGAGCTCAGGGCAAAACTGAGCCTAGAAATGCTCTCCTGGATTATCAGCAAGTGTTTATTTCCCTGACCCCCCTGCCCTCCTCTTCCTGCTGCTTTTCCATCCCATTCTCCTCCCATCCTGGGGACCTGTGGGGATGCAACCTCTCCAAATCCCAGACTGGTTTGGGTTGGAGGGACCTTAAATCCCACCCAGTGCCACCCCAGCCATGGCAGGGACACCTCCCACTGTCCCAGGCTGCTCCAGCCCCAGTGTCCAGCTCTGCCAGGATCTGGGGCAGCCCCAGCTTCCCTGGACAGCCCATTCCAATTCCTGACCACCCTCATGGGGATCTCCCATGCCAACCCAACAGGGACCACTCTGAAATACAATCCTGGGGATCATTTTGTCTTCTCTTGCTTGAAACCTAAAAAAGAGAGAGAAAATTGCTGTAACCCATCTGTAAAGTGACTGCTTCAAATTAAATTCTAAACCCCAAGGAAGTGTCATTGAGAAGAGACTAGAGGAGCTTGCCCTGGGAACAGGGAGATGAGGAATTCCCTGGGATGGGGCTGCCTTTGTTCCTGTGTCACCCCAAACGTCCCCACGGGCACTGGGGCAGTTGTTGCTGTTCCTGTGAACCTTCAAATCTGTCATTCCTCTTCTGGGAGAGACCCTTCCTCCAGATCTCCCCCATGGCAATGGCAGAATTCAGCTGAGCCCTCAGGAATTGAGGAAATCTGTCCTGACCTGTGTTCCCAGAGGTGCTGCTCAGGGGAGTGTCTCTGCTGGAGACACTCTGGGTATTGCAGAGAGCACAGCCTGGCTCTGGTGGGCTGCTTGACCATGAAATTGCCCATGAAATGCGAATCTATTGTTTATCATGCTAATTAGTAACCCCACAAGTTTATTTAAAGGTCACTGGAAAGCCATGGGAAATATCTTAGATGGGAAAAGTAGAAAAATCAAGAAGCCATAGGGGGTTTGGCTTATTTAGTAGAATGTTATTGCTGATATTTAAGATACTTTCTGAGATGTGCATTAAATTAATAAGGGAGATGAAGGAGTGTTTTAATATAACTTAGTGTGAAAGTAGCCCTCAGAATTTATTTTATTCATAGATTTTTGCATCAAAGGTCCTATAATGATTAATTTTCAAACTTACAGGTTTAAACAGCAAAATAAGAAATAATAGCTCCGAAGCTGCTTTGAAATACTTAATAAAATGGTGTTCTTTAAATCACTAAATGGCCTCCTAATGCCACCAGCACTTCAAAGAACAGTGTTCTTTGCAATATTTCTATTCAGTTTTCTGCACTCTGCAAAGCTGACTCGCTTATAGGGCACAGAAATATTTTCAAATGGGCAAAGTCAAGGCATTGTTATATCCCCACAAAAGCCTGGCCTGAAAACCTGCCCTGAGTGCTGGGGAGGGCAGGAGTTAATCTGGTGGTGCAGGAGGTTCCTCAGCCTGCCAGACTGCAGGACCAACTCAAAATCCAAGAGCTGGGAAGGATGGTGCTGTTCTGAGGGATGCCTGATGTGGGGCTGCTGCAGAGGGACTGACACAGCCCCAAACCCAAATTTTGTAGGAAATCCATGTCTTTTTGTAGGAAATCCATGTCTTTCCATGGACAAAAAACATCTTCATGTCAAATCCAAGGGGTGGAAAATTTGAGGTTGCAGTTCAAAGAGTGCCCAAGTGTCTCCTTAATGGGTATTGGAGGGAGAGAAATTCCTGTTGGGAAGCTCCAGAGAAAACAGAGAAATTCCTCCTTAAATCGCCTAAACTAAGAGCAGGATTTGGCCCCTTGCAGCTCCTGGGGAGGCAGAGGGCAGCTGGGATCCAGGCTTGAATCCTGTTCCAGGAGGGCTCCTAATTGTAAATTCAAGCATGCAGAGGATTAATTGCCAGCAGGTGTCAAAGATAAGAAATTCCTCTCTGATCTGGGCAGGGGGTAACTCTGAGTATTTCCCTGTATTGTTCTGTTCTTGCCATTGTTCGGGAGGACAGAAAATGAAAATCTTGGTGAGGAAATGGGAAAAACAATTTTGCTGCTGTCAGAAAAGGAGAAAATGCGGTGCAAGGCTTCAAAGGGGAGAAATTGTTAATTAGGAAATTACTGCTTGGAAGAAATATAAATGGGAAGGTCAGAGAGTTGTGAAAGGGCAGCCTGCAGATTCATGACCTGCCCGGAGCCAAGGGTTACACGCAGCCCGCCCCAGCAATTTACTCGGGTTCCGTCCTCCTTGTGCTGTGGGAAAATGAGTGAATGTGGCAATTAGTGGAGCTGCTGATTGACTCCTGGCCGTGGCAGCTCCGGGCCCCCTGCACAGGGCTCAGCCTGGGAGGTCCTGCCACCCCTCTGCTCCTCAGGAGGGTGCGGAGCCTCCCCAGGCCTTTAATGAGGGGCTGCTCCCTGTGGAGAGCACAAAACAGGAGGGCCTTCAGAAGGTGATTTCCTGCAGCCCCCAAGGGCCAGCTTGTCTGGTTTTGTTGTCTTTGCAGCTGGCA